GTCGTTCCTGCTTAGGTCTTAAAATGTATATATTACAAACCCTAACAATCTAACCCTAACATTCTAACATTTGAAGTTAAGGATTTGGAGGTTTTGCGATCACCGACAACTTGATAATTTTATAAAACAAAACACTTCTATCTCCAACTTTTACAATCACTGATAAATTGATAATAATTTAAACCAGTCTAGCTGTAGTTTAAATAGAGAATAATACATGGGTGCACGAAATACCAGATTTATTTCGAGTGTTGAACATGAGTGTGCAGCGAACAAGTGAGCGCAGCGAACGAGTGAGATGTCATGTTCAACACAAAAAATAAATCTTGTATTTCCAACCACCCATGTATTTTTCTGTTTATTATATAAAGGACAGTCTTAAATGAAAAGCAATAATGTTTACAGAAAAGCGATAATTGAAAACGCTATAAATTTTTACATGTGAGATTATCATGAATAATTTCACATCTGAGATTATCATTTTTGTCAGTGCTCGAAAACTCTGTAAAACACTATACTTTATATAATAAAAATTCATAAATTTGAACCATGCTAGAGCATGACAACAGCAAAATGCTCTATAGTATGATGCACAATATTTTGGGAGGTGATCGAAATACACGAACAATAAATCAGAGAGTGTTTGCTTGGAACTCACTGGGGGGGGGGGGCAACACCCCTGATTATTGCTCATGATGAATTTCAGGTAGATTTCCAGTGCACTTTAGTACGTACATTTAAGTAGATTTGCAGAAGATTTTCAGGAGAATTCAGGTAATTCTCAGGACATGACTGAGAAAGTGAATTTGGAAAGCAACTGTATTTTCGGAAAAATTATTATATGTACTCAAAATTTTTTGTACATCTGGAAACTTTTTGGTAACCCCCCCCACCCCTCTATCTAACCACACACACACCCTGCGACGAAGTGCTCGCAACGGCACTGAGTATATATCTTTTGAAAACAGGCGAGGGGTTATTGCATGCATGTATTTCTAGTATATTAATATTCATGGTTGTCAAATATCATAAAATCAACACACAAAATTCACACACAAAGGTTTAAAATAGTGTATATTGGTATAAACGTTTAATAAAAATGCATACATACGTAACCCATGGTCGGCATGGAATTTTGTCACTTGGCACAGTACTTTAATGTTTTTTTAATGTTTGTCCCACATTAAAATATATTGAGTCAATGACAGTACAACTGTTCATATTAAAACGTTCTAATCACTTTTTACATGCACATTTGTATTCAGTAGTAATCTTTTCATAAAGGTACATCAAAGTCCCAAATCAAATTCTTCACTGACAGTAGTGACAGTATGTTATTGACTCCCAAACGACAAATATTATAAAACACGCTTCCAAGCTGAAAAGAAATATTTTATACTGTTGTCAGTCAGTGTTTATACTCTTCTCTTCGAATCTTGATCTTCCACAAGTATTGCTGTTGATTATATTCCATATTTTTTTGAAGAACATCGCAGACTATATATTTATTTCCACTGTCAGTTGAAAAGTTTATCATCATAGTTTCAGTCTCTGGTTTCAGTCGCAAAAGCTTCTATCGCCCCTTTGCACGGCCATGTTTGATAAAATCAAAGTGGCCCGCACCCCCGGTTTGAAAAGTTAAATATTCTGAAATATTCAAAATTTGAAGCATCACGTGACCAGCCTTTACCAGGGCCTTTGCTGCTTCGCCTCCTTCCTCAATAGGCCCTGGGGACGAGGTTGGAGCTGTACCCCGTGATCTAGTACACGACAATACGACATTAGGGAGCTTTAGATTTGACTACGAGTACGACTACGAGTACGAGATTTGATCGCGTGCGAGTGCGAGATTTGATCGCGTTTTCGTTTCGATTCAAATGTTGCTTTTATAACAGTAAACCAACAACGAGAGAAAAAGTTTCATAAACTAAATCTCCTACGGACTAAAATCCCCTACAAAACGTGTGAATAAGTCATAACATTAAAAACAGGCCAGATATTTAGTACTAAGATATTATTTGCGCCGGATAAACGCTATATAAATGCTACAAATTCTTTTTGGAAAACAAAAAAAAGCCAACTTTCTTTGTTTTTTTGAAAAGTCGTCGTGAGGACTACGAGATTTCTCCACAACGTCGTACTCAGATGGGCGACGGCTACGACTTTTTAGCGTCAGTACGGGATGGCGTAAGCATACAGCATGCGTTTAGCCGTTGACGAATCTCGTACTCGTAGTCGTACTCGTAGTCAAATCTAAAGCTCCCTATTATGGGTTATGTCGATCCAGAAGGATTGGAACGCCGCGGGAACATTGGGGAGAAAAAACGAAGCAGAGGTGCCACCGGTACTTTTACATCGTTGGTATGGAATTTTTAAACTTAATTACTACATATAGACGGCGACTATACCACTTCAAAATTTTTTTTTATATTATTAAGCATCATTTGTTTATTAAAGGTCCCCAAGTAAGCTTATAAAACAGTACTAAAACTGTCTGTACCATGCAGTGCAGGTACAGCCGTACAGTATAGTACCAATGTGAATTTGCTGTGCTGAGTGGTTATATTACTTCCTGAAAAAAAAAGTAGAAACTCGACGTTGGGCCGTCTAACTCTTGACGAAGGGCCTTCGCTCGAAACGTCGAGTTTCTACTTGTTTTTTCAGGTAATAAATTATAACCACTCACCCAAAACAGTGCACCCATAGATAATTCTTAAATCTTAAATGTCCTCTTGTCCCACCCCTTAGGGATCCAACCACACTCATTCAGCAGATGGGCATGATAAGCTTATGGGCTTTATGAATGGCACCTTTCCTCTTGCCGTATATGGGCTACAAGACGTGTTTAGCAACTATGTTATATATTTGAAGCTTTGGACCTCTAACTCGGACCCAAGGCTGGTGGGACGGTGGTACCTAGAACACTTACAACAGATCAAGAAGTACAGTACAGTAAAGTATTTTTAGTTTATCATATCACTCAAGGAGCAGTAGTTTACCATATTGTACAGCCACATTTTTATAAATTATCTGGTAAACCACATAAAGCAATTTTTTCATATTCTTCATTTAACAGTAATAAGTAAGCACTTGAGGCTTGATAATGGAACTGAAACGGATCATATGGCCACTATCCATGCATTTCTGAGGTAGCATCATGATGAAGAGAATAATGAAAATGGTGAAGACACTGTACATTATGGACCATCAACCAACAATATATATATATATATATATATATATATATATATATATATATATATATATATATATATATATATATATATATATATATATATATATATATACTATATATATATATATATATATATATATATATATATATATATATATATATATATATATATATATATATATATATATATATATATATATATATATATATATATATATAGTACTATATATATATATATATATATATATACCGGGTGTCCCTGTACTATAGCGATGTTGGGCAAATAGGCACAACATTAGGGAGCCACCTTAAGCAAGTCTATTTTCCTTAACAGAGATTTGTTGGCATTTGTTTATATACCAATAATTGGAAAAGAACTGGAGGTGTTCAGAGAAACAATATGGAACTCGCATAGAGTAAGGTGCCAGAAGGATGCTCAGGTACCCAAGGGAATACCAAAACATTTATATGCATTTCCTGAGCAATATGAATCTGAACAATGTGGTATGTATTGTATGCATTTGCTTCAATCAAAACTGTTCAATTGCTAGCTTGATATATTCATATACCATATACGACATTAATTATATAAATTCAGTTATCTCTGATTAACAGGTTTCAGTGTAAGCAAAGAAGCACTTGATGAGGTAGCCAATCTCTCTGAAGTCATGAGTGTTGGGGATGATTATTTAACTCATGCTGTGAGAGAAGAATGTGAAAGTATTATACCTGCAATTAATGATGTAAAGCCAAATGATGCTGCAACAGCTTATTTATTTCTGAAGTCACATTACAAGGAGCCATCAGCCAGTTTATCAGGAGTTGGTGAGAGCACCTGATGTATACAGTAGCCTGCATGTTGTCTATACAAGTCTACAAAAATGCTACACATGTCTACATACAACTAGCAACTGGGTAGTGATTTGTTTCAGCATTTGTAAATAGACAAGGAATGACAAAACATCCATTCTGAGCAACATAAGACATATTACATGTAAATATTAATATTTATTAATATTAATAAATATTAGTATTAATAAATATAAATAAATGTAAATAATAAAATGTAAATATTAATATTTATTTTTATTAATATTTATTAATATTCATATTAAAATTTATTTTTGTAGTGATTTGTTTCAACATTTGTAAATAGACAAGGAATGGTAAAACATCCATTCTGAGCGACATAAGAAATATTGCAGCCTTTAATCTATATAAACTTTAATCTATTTTACATTTTACTGTCTTTACATGTATGTTGCTATTGCTTTGTGTTTTGATAATGTGAAATAACCTTGATGGAAACGGGGTTTTTTTTTAAATTAACAGAAAATTAAAACCTAAACAGTGCCAACTTTCAAAATAGTATCTGTGCTGTCCCAGAATTCTGCCCAAACTTTTTTGTTCATTGGCTGCTTGTATCAACTGTGTTGATCATATCACAGAACTTGTTGCAGATATGTGTATCCATAAATTCTTCAATACATATGAAGGAAACATTGCCACAACAAAAGTATGCTTCACCACTCTCTGCACGCAATTCACTTGTTGCAATTTCTGTGTCATAAAGGTGGTAGCCTGCACCTTGAAGATCAACAAGCATGAGCTTCTTGGAACTTTGAATGTGGGAGTAATGCACTAGGCATTCCGCTTTCTCAATGACTGTCATCATCTCAGCACTGCAAACCTATATGTACAAATATAAAAAGTTATATATAGTCATATGTATCCATATGTTGTATGTTTTTTATTACATATAAATGGTGTATTTTGATTTTGTCACTGAACTCTATGTCAACTTCATAAGGGGCCATTCATAAAGGATGTCCGAGCCAGGGGGGAGGTGGTTGGAGAAATCCGGACAAATTCGGACATAGGGGGAGGGTACTATTCAACGATCCGGACGTCTGATTTAAAAAAAATCAAAACACAAATATCTATTTTTGTTGTATAAAACAAATATTGGACGGACAAGGAAGGGAAGGGGGGGGGGGGGGAATT